GAAGGCGAAGGGAGCCCAGCAGGCCACGGACCATGATCTGTGTTGTGTTAATCCAGGCTTCATGGGTGATGTAATGATGGTGGTCACTTACACGCCACAGCAAGCGATGATGATGGTTGCGTGCCTCAAACTTCTCACAAAAGGTGCCATGACCATGCTTCCTGCAAAGATACAATGCGCAGTTGTCCACGCGGTAAGCAGGCTTGGTTTGTATTTCGCCAGTCCCGTTAACTGCTTAGGTGGGCGAGAGAAACCAGGACCCTTTTCGTCTTCTTCTGGGCTCTGTACGAAGAAAGGCAGGAGAACAGACATGACGAATGTGATGATGGAAAAGGCGATGAGGGCCATGGAGCCAATGCGGCCGACTTTGCCTGTGAGGTCACCCGCAGCTTTGACTTCTGCTGGGGCGTCGTATCGTAGGTATACTTCACCAACCCACGTGGTGCTGTAGAAGAGGAAAGGAAACCAGCCTAGCCACTGTCAGCTCTTGATCACAGAAACAATATAATAATGACATACCAATCCAAGCCCAGAACTGGACTGTGCAGATAGCCTGGATACTTCTAGGCAGATTCAAAGCAGTATGCACGATGGTACCGAGAACTTGCTTGAGATCCAGCTCCTTGCCCTCCTCCGCCCCATCATTAATGAGCACTCTCTCGGTGACAGCCCAACTCGTTGTCCCAATGGCCAAGCAGAGCGTCAACGCCGCAACACCCGTCAACTGCTTGAACTGTGTATCTCCCAACATAGGTCCAAACACATTCTTCAGATCAATCGCTCCCGCCCCGTACCCAATCAGACTCCCGACCGCCACCATCCTACTCGCCCAACTACTGCCCATTTGCTGTTTCGCAATCGGCAACGTATCGACGACCAGGCCTCTGCAACTCCCCTGCACGGCATTGATAGCGAAATCAATACCGTATATACTAAACACCGCCACGTATATCGTTGCGCTCTTAGCCGCAGCCTCGTCTTTTATAAAGTACCGAACCACCTCTTTCGTCCAGCCCAGCAGCAGCAAGAACATGGCTACCAGTATCGTACCAAAGAACATGAACGGTCTCCGGCGGCCCCAGCGAGAGGTAGATCGATCCGCGACGACACCGACGATAGGCTGCATTATGAGACCTGAAAGTGGGCCGGCGACCCATACGAGGGATATCTTCGATTTCGTAAGCCCGAGCTCGAGGAGGTAGGGTGTGCAGTATGTCATTTCGACATTCCACGTGAACCTGCATGGTGCTTAGTACAGGGTGCAGGAAGAACTCGTGGGAAGCGGAGATTTACTGCAAGCCGATGAGCGAAGCTGTGAGCAACGCCATGCGCATGCTCTCAGTCGAGCCCTTGACTGAGGGTGTGCCCTGCCATTGCGCAACAGACGGCATCTTCCCCTAGGACTATCCTCGTCCTTGCACCGTGGCAGCAAGGTAGGCGCAGTCGCGTGCGCTGCTCTCGGGGGTCTTCGCGTAGTTAGGGAAACGTGGAAGGGCGCATTGGGTAGCCGGATCGTGTGGTAGGATTTCGTATTATGTTCGCGTTATGCAGGGACTCGGTCGGGCCAGGTATCGATTAGAAGAACGCGCTCAATGCATCCACGTATGAGATGACAAGAAGGTGGGAAAAGCAATAAGAGAGTTCCAAGGGAGTGAATGGAAGTTGGTATTTGTCTCGTGTCTAGGAGTCTAGTCTGAAGAGGGGAGGGCAAGGCGTGCAAAGGAGGAGAGACGTCGTCAGCTCCATGGCTTGGCCGTGTCGCTTGTCGAGATGATTACGGATGTCGGGATCGTGGAAAGGGCCAAACGGCGGCTGGATGGAGCTAGACCGTTAGAGCGAGCGGGCCGTGTGGCGCACCCCCGAACATCTGGTTCGGCGCAGTTAGGACCGACCGATGGTCGTGGAGCTGTTGCTCGAACTTCGCATGTTGGCATCTTCATGTACATTTGCTCGCTGTAACGGTGTCTTCATTCAGTGTGTTCGGCATGTGCGTCAGAATGATGATTACTGGGAGCAGGGTCCTTCCAAGCTAGCTCCTCTCACGGCGCAACAATATCCAAGGTTTCGGCAACATACTGATTGACTTTTCTATGACATGCATTGCAAGAAATCAAGGAACAAACTCGTAACCCAAAGGAGATCTAGAACAAAAGGAAACAAAGAAAACCACCGCTTCCTGCAACACTCAAACCTAAGATCAAAACACAGATGGAAAGCCCGCCTGCTCACTCTTCCAAGAGTATCTATCTCGCATCTCTTATCCGCTAGTAGTCGTCTCAAATGCGCAGCCTCGACAGTTCCGGCGTTGAGTCGTCTTCCAAAGTTCCTGAGCTGTTTTCCATCCAATTCTGGCCCTCGTCCCTGTCCAGTGGAAGCTGTCTGACGATGACAGGCGACCGACCGTTCTTACGCTCCGCGAGTACTGCCTGCACGATTTCGTACTTCGCCGTAATGTATTCGTCCATGGTCCACTTCAAATCTTCGGACAAGTCACTGACTCTGTTCGCAATCTTCACACCAGCAAGTTGCTGTGGTCGCGGACGCATGTCGAGCTGGTGCTGGAAGTAGCCCCACCCGTGGGTATTTGACTGCTCGATGATGTAGATGTTGTTCGTATTTTCGATCATGGGCTCGAAGTCTTGTAGCAGCCAGACAGAACCAGGCTTGCCATCGTCATCTATGACAACGACCATGACCCAATCTGTCTCTTCCCAATGAATCTCCTGCAGATCTTTCCCTTCGGGTAGCTTGCCATCGTCGGACCAATGCTTTGCGTCGACTGCTTGCACCTTCCCGATCGTAAAGCAAGCAAATCCGGTATGACCGTTGCCTTGTACCATGCTGTGGGTACTGGAGGAACTGAACCGCGATTCTTCTGAAGAATTATCCTGCTGCCTTGCCGAGCGCTCTCGAGCCGGATTCGTGTACGAGATCCTCGTTCCAGCTGGCAGATCGATCGCGATGAATCCTTCGCTGGCGAATTCACGTGGGTCGTCCCAGTTGACTTTTTCTTCATCAGGTCCGAGTATCAACATACACGGACTAACGGCATAACGATAACCATGATGGGTTCCAATCGGGATACAAGGGTAGAAGTATGAGCTCAGGCGTTTGTAAAGCTTTCCGAGAGATCGGTCGTCCACGTAGTCGGTCTTCGCGAGAGTATCGATGTAATCCTTGGCCGTTCCGCCTTCAGGTACTGTCCGGCTCTTTTTGTCCACAGCGTGTACCCAATCCCAGAACTTCTCTTGCTCCACCGCACTTGGTAGTGCAGCTTCGAGGATCTGGCCCTCGTTCTCGAATTTGTCGTCAGGATCTTTTGAGGAAGTGTCGCCATCGCCTTTGGATCGGAGCTTCTCTCTTTTCGCGAACATCCTCTCTCGGATGGACTTGTAGTTCGGCTTATCCATGACGACTAATACAGATTGTTGAGTAAGCGAAGTTGCGGTTGTATCGATAGTTCGTACCAGGTCGGATTTCGAGGTGAAGTCAACGAAGAAATGTGGACGAGTGGTTTCAGGATTTGCGTGCGCACTTAATAAGTACCTAGATATTTGGATGAGTCACCGCGTTTGTGCGGCAATTACAGGCGCCACGCCCGCGTGCTCTCACCTTTCAAGGTTGGGCCAAGCAAGCCCTGGAGACAATCCACTTGGCTCGCGCGTGAGCGCGAAATCCATACCAGCCAGCTAAAGAAAACTGAGCTTTTGCGCATCAATCGCTTAAGTTTGGCTTTTGGAATCTTGTTGAGTACGGGGAATGGCAAAGGGCCCCAAGGTTGCGTTCAGCTACCACGGTTTGTGCTACCTAGGTACCTTAGGCACCGTCCAATCAAAGTGCGTTTGTTGGATACCCCCGCAAGCGCGCAGACAACAGATCATGAAAACATCGGAAAGTTTAACTTCACAGCAATCGTCAAGTGCTCAGCTTGCGTCAGCCCGCCACTTGCGGTGTGCGTATGCGGACCAGATTCTTCCATCCCGACGTCACGTTGATCGCTGTTGTTGGATTCATGAGCATTTTTTTACTTTTCTACGGACATGCTATCAAAACGACGAATGTTACAGTCGTGAGTATCATACCAAATGCATTGAACATGTGTCGTGCGGATGGAGGAGTATTTGCCAAACTCATTACGAACTGCGTTGATTCTACCAACCCTCACAGCGGCACGAACCCATATGAAGCGATCAACAACGTAGCCCTTGAAACTTTATAGATTATGAAGAATGATGGCACCTTTAAATAGATTGGATGTATGCAGAGGGCATGATAAACCCGGTATTCACGATCGTGGTATATGCCAAGAGATGACCGACTGGATGAAATCAAAATAAATACATATATACGACCTACATATCTTGCGGTAGAGTGATGATGTTCAGTCGTTGAAGTCAACACATCCAAGTCGAAGACTTACTCAAGATTGCATATGCACAGGTGGTTGGACCACCATTGGCACTTAAGAGAGAACATCATAATATCACATCATAGTAAGGAAGCACTTTAAAGAATGGTATTTTTTTTTTTGGGTTTTTTGGTTGTGGCTATGGGAGGCAAACGTAGAATGAGAGAAGGGGATTTCTAATAGGTGGACGAACGCCACATGAGATGGACACTAGACAGGGTGGAGGCGTGAAAGGAAAAGGAGACAAGGGGCAGGGAAAAGGGCAGGGAAAAGGGCAGGGGAAAGGGCAGGGGAAAGGGCAGGGGAAAGGGTAGGGAAAGGACGGTGGAGCCAGGAGGATGCGCAAGTAGGAAATAACGCGAAAAGTAAGACAAAGAAGCGACAAGGAGAACACACGAGTAATAAACATCGTGAGAAGAAAGACGAAGAGACGAGAAAGAGAGCTCGACAGTGATCAAGCGACCACAGGAGGGAAGCAGCACCGTTCTTCGCCGCAGGGTAGGCAATGCCGGTTTTGATGGAGGAGTTGCATGTCGATGCCGGAGTGATGTGGTGTCGCGAAAGTCGTACCAACCGCACTCATCTCTTGGAACTAAAAAAGGTGGGTGCTCTTCTTTTTCTTGAGAGACTTTCCTTTCAGGTCGGCCACTCTGGGAGACTGGGGTCGGTTGGCGTCGTTCTGTGCATCATCGAAGGCGAAGCACTGACAGGCTGCAAGTGCCTCGGCGCACTGATGAAACCATGGGCAATGCCTGCCCCAGTCGTATTTCTTCAAGTGATCGATAGTCGGCTCGTAGTCTGTAGATGGTGTCATGTGTGTGCTCAGTACTGTGTACTGGTAGTTGCATTGGCAACGATAACAGCATTGGACTGGCTGCATGAAACTGTTGATCGCTAGGCCCTGGCAGCGAATCCGAGCCACGTACCTCTGATGGGTTGAGTCGTTCGTCAATTGGCTGATGACGACTTTTCGAGCAGACAGGTTCTGCTCGAATAGTTGATCCTTAGTTAGGTCTGTCGTGTCGCCAAGCAGTCGTTGTTCATGTTCTTTCTGCGCGTCATTGGCCGCCTTCACCTTCGCAACGAAGTCGCTACCAAGACCTTGCTCTCTGACAGCCTTGTAAAACTTGTCAGCCCAAGGAAACCAGACCGTTGTTCCTCCTGTAAGCGGCGTGGTGCCTCCAACAATCCACTTTGTGATTGGCTGCGCGGGATTTGGCCGGATGTACTCGTGCGTGCAAATGAAGAACATCGCAGGCTCGGCAGCATGGGGATGGTTGTACTTGCGCGCGAAGTCGGTAGTCCAGTGACGTGTCTCGGTAGGTGCGCCGCCGTCAGGTTCTTGCTTTATGAAACGCCCCAAGTGGATGTTGAGAGCGCGCTGAACGTCGTTTCCGGTCTTCCAGTTGGCCATTATTGTCCGGCTGATTGGAGACGGAGGACCTCCGAACTCATGATTGAGAGCGAGTTCGATCAACAACTCCTGATTTGAACGGGTCGGCATGCCTCTCCTCTTGGATAAAACATCCATTCGGTCCAAACGCCAACCCGACTTCTTCTCCGGCTGTTTGAGCAGTCTGTGATGACGATCGATTTCAAAGTAGGCGGCATCACACGTCCTGAGGGCTGATCTTATCGCGTCTCCCCAAGTGAACGCTTCGTCACCTCCATCATTCTCGAAGTAATCGAAGTATGCGCCCTGGTTGGCCATGATCTTTTCCTGTCGATCTTTGCGGAAGTCCTCGTCCTTTGAGAACTTGTCGGTTGGCTTCTTCTGTTTCTCCTCATCGGGTGGTAGGGGGCTCTCAACTGGGGATTCATCGTCTCGGGCTTGTTGCGGCATTTGCCAACATGCCTTTCTAAACTTCTGCAATAAAGTTAGCCTTTAGCCGCACCAAACCATTGAGTAACAGTCATAGAGAGGTGTTTAGTAACATACCTTATCCAAGAGATCAGGATCAACTTTGATAATGTGTTTTCGAATCTCTTCCAGAGGTTCGTAGCAAACCAGATGGAGCTGCACCAGATTAGACATCAGAAACTGCTTTGCTACTAATGTCTCCTTGTCAGGCCAGTACTCTGGCTTCATCTGCGATGTAGTCCATCTAAGTTGGTCTGCGATGGCGGCAGCGGCTTGGATAGTCTTCTTGTGCCCATCCTCCAGCCTGTGTCCGCGGACGTTGCGATCGAACTTGTGTGCAAATCCCCACCCAGTCATATCGGCGTAGTCCTGAGGACGTCGGTTTGGAGATTCGATTGGTAAATTTGGATCGATTGGTAAATTTGGATCGGTCATGGCTTAAGCTGTCAAGGAAGGCAGAAGTTTCGAATGTACTGGAAGGACTGATACCTGGAATCGTAGTGATGAGAGAAGCTATCTGTTCGTTCCTATACCTATAAGTACTTGAGATCGTGCTTGCTCCCAAAGGTCATGTAGCCATCTGTATGTCATTGGCAATAGTCACTAAGTACGCAGACGGATCGTTTGGTGGATACGGTAGCTTTCTAGCAAACTACCAAAGAAAACCTGAATTCGCGATGGGGAAGAGGTTTGAACAATCGTTGCACTGCTCGATGATTCTCGAATACCCCTTACCTTCCAGCAAAGATGCAAGACAACAGCGCGGAGGTCTTCACCAAGATCCTGCTTATCAAGCCGTCTCCGAATCTGTCTACGTATCCCTCAAACGTACCCACGTTCCTCCGTATCTTGCAAGATTTCTCGCATCGTAAGAGGCTACACGAAGGACAATACGGAGGTTTTAGCAGCGAACTGTAGAAGTAACCGTCAGCAGCTCTACTGCTGCATACTGTGAAACAAGGGTGTTTAGGAAGATACATCTGCATTGCGATCATATACTGTGTTACTCAACTGCGTTGTGCCTGCATTTCGGCACCAGCACGTTCAGCAAAGCAATCCGTCAGCAGCTCAATCACTGTGTGCCTGAAAGCATTAAGTCGGTCCTCTCAATCACCTCGACACATCAACACCGCACACACAAAGCCACACACATAACACACGCATCCAATAAAGTTAAAAAAGATATATCATTCGCGCAAAAGAACCCCAGCATTAAATACCCAACATCATCATGCGTCATACGCGCCCACCGAATCCTCCCCAACGAAGAGTGAGTAAGTAAGTAATTCCGAAGCAACACCCCTCCCCCGCTTTCCATCCCTCCCAGAAGTTCCAGCAACTAGACCAGAAGACAGAAAGAAGAAGAACACAGCTTTGCTTCCTAACAACTTTACAAACATTGGGAGTTCCCCATCATCATCATCATCATCTGCGGCGCTTACTTCCTCCTCCCGTTGTCGTCTTTCTCGTGCGCGCGTGTCGTTTCATGTGTCTAATACCAAATTTTCGCTCGCTGTGCTGACAAAAGATGCTAAAGTTCATGCTTCAATTCCCTCTTCAATCGTACCGTGGCCGTTCATTCCGTTGCCGTTCATGCCCATGCCGCCGGTGAGAGCCTGCATGGCGTCGCCGTTGCTCTGGCCGTTGGGCATGTCGTCGTCGAACTCGAGCTTCTCTTGCTGCGCAATGGCTTGTTGCGAGACGATCTCTGCGAGGCGCTTGAGGCGGGGGGTTTGCAGCCCTGTCGATTGTATTAGACGTGTGCCGATGGTGCGGTAGATGGATGAGAGAAAATACTTACAGGAAGGCGTGTATGTCTCGAGTGCTGTTATCACTCTTGGCTCCGCGATTTCGTACGGGCCACTATCCTCCATGTCGACTGCGGTGAGGAGAAGAACGTCGCTCTTCTCCGTCACACGCGACGCGACGGCCTTCATGATCTCGCCGTTGATGGGCTGCTCGTAGTCGGCTACCAGGTACTGGTTCAGCAGCTTCTGGATTTGGTTCGGACTCAGCATCCAGCAGATGTCCTGAATAATCTCAATGTCGTTCAAAGTAGCCTTCTTCAGCTGGAGCAACTTGGTTGCTTGCATCAGATGCTCAAGTTGCAGTGTGCCCTCTGGCATGTCATGCGACTTGCACCACTCCTCGATACGGGTGATGTTGTAGTTGATCTGCAGACCTCGCTTCCATGAAAGGAAGTTGCGGCGCATGAGCAAGTCGTTGAAGGCAGTGACACCCACTAACCTCAGCAACTCGGTAACACACTGTGTGATGATAGAGTCTTCCAAGTAGTAAGCCTTCATGGCCTTGTAGACGCTGTTGAGTAGGGTGAGTAGGTTGTCCATGCTGTAGGCAGGGGTGTTGCTGCCCTGGAGGAGCTTTCCAAGGAAACGGTTGCTCTCGTTGGTAACGAAGCCGGGCAGTGATTGCGACTCGATGATAGCAGGGATAATCATCTTGTGCAGCTTCTTCTTGAGCACCTTCATCCAGGTGTGGTAGATGTTGAACTCGAGACTCTCAAGATCGTGCTTGACAATCTCCAGCAGTCTGTCGTACTCGTAGTTGTCGGTCTTCTGTTGCTCGTACCAATCTTCAGCGAGGAAGACGAACGAAAGCATCTCATGGACGTTCGACAACCAGAAGGCACCTGGGTTGATCGCGTCTTCAGCATCGTGCTGCATGACCTCTTGTTGGATCGACTGCATAACGTTTGCGAGGAAGCGCTCTGATTCCTTGACGAAACCGTTGTTCCACATCTCGGAGGTGACAAGGTTGATGAGGTAAGCTGGGAAGAGAACCTCCTTATCGGTAGGTGGGGGCGTTGTGGTGGGCGATGGGATCTTCAGGTTCTTGATCAGGCCAAGAGTGACCTCATCGTTCAGCATGTCCTCCTCAGCAAGGATGTTCTCAAGCTCAAGCTCGACGTTATCGAGCTGAGCAAACGTTGAGCCGGAGAGGTTTTGCCTGTGAATGGTGGAACCAGGAGCCATGGAGACAGGTCGCGGGTTGTATTGTTCGCTGAATCGGTTGATGTCGCGAGTGTCTGGTCCAGCACTGCGCCTCTTTGGCTTCTTCGACGAGACAAGCTTGATCAAGCTGCTGGGGGCTATGGCCGTGGAGTGACCGTTTGTCAGCTCACCAGGCATTGGGCCGGATCGCTTCATCAGTTCAACCTGCTCTTGCAGCTCGGCGAGTTGCTGGCGGAGGGACATTTTTTCGGTCTCGGTGACATTGCTCCTCCTCTTGGATTGCTCCAGGTCGTCTGTGGTCCTCTTAAGCGACGCACGGAGTTCCTTCTCCTCTTCTTGAAGATGGCGCATCTTTGCGGTGCTCTCTTCGTAGCTTGTCTGCAGCTTCTTGTACTCGTCTTCCATCTGGCTGAGCTTGGCAGCGGTGATACCAGCTTGGTTGGCTTCGGCTTGTAGCTCCTTCTGGCGGTTCTCGAGTGTACGGCTGCGCTCCTTGTACGATTTGATCTGGCTCTCGTAGTTCTCCACTTGAGACTTGAGCGACTTGTTCTGCTCCCTCATCGTACCCAAGTTCTGGGTAAGCTCGACAACCTTGTTTTCGAGCTTGTAAGAGATGTTCTTGAGATCGCGAGATTCGGCGCGGAGGACCTTGTATTCCCTGCGGGCCTTCCTTCCCCTCCAGAGCTTCTGGACAGTGATGATGTCGTTGATCTCCTTCTTGTAGGCGCGGATGTATCTTTGTTTGCGCCAGTTGCGTTGGATCATGCGAGCAGCATCTCCAAGCCTCTTGTCCAGGATGTTCTTACGGAGCAAGAATCCCTTTGCGGCAGCCTCAAACTTGATAAGCGAGTTTCGGACAACAAGGAAGCGCTTGCGGTCCTTGCTACCACGCCAGACTCTCTGAATGGTGGTTGCAGCCTTGACCTGCCTGGCCTCCTCGGCTCGTTCCCTGGTCATGTAGCCCCTAGCCAATGATTGCACGTGGATGACCGCCTCGCGCATCTCGAGGTAGATACGGCGGTAGTATTTGGCTCGGAGGTTCTTCTGAATCATGACGGCGGCGTCGTTGAGTCTGGCTGTACGCAAGTTCTCGAGGAACGCAAGCATACCAGCGCGGAAGAAGATCTTTGTCAAACCCATCTGGTACTTGTCGGTGCCATCGTTCTTGCCGGCACCTAGCGCCTTCTTCAAGATTGCCGTGGCCATGTTTCGGATTTCGGGCGTCCAGTCAGCGGATCTGACCAACATGTAGTAACGCAGGGCGAATTCCTCATAAGTCCATCGTGTGGGGTAACCGGCGCAACTGATCCTGACAGTTTCGAGAACACCACAAGCGCGCAATTGGCTGAGAACCATGGGTCCATCGAATTGCCAAGCAGCCTTGGCCTCGTTGGGCTTGATACATCGGATATAGTGGACGTCGGTTGAGTTGATGGTCTGCATGAGTTCGATGAGAGACGATTTGAAGATACCACCGAGTGTTGGCTTGCGGTTGGTCGCCATCCTTCGGCCAGCCGACATGGCAGTACCCGGCTTGGACGAAGCGCTAGTAGCATTCTCCTTCTCTCGGATCGACGCAGCAACGTCCAAGACTTGGGTCAAGAACTTATTGCTTGCAGCCTTGAGGACCTCCATGTGTTCGTCGGGCACAGTATCTCTGTTCTTCTCGATGAAGCCATCAGATTCGTACGTGACATCGATGGCGTAATGGCAGACGGTGAAAGACGACTTGCCGAACCGGGGCTTCTTGTAGAATTTGTGCTTGTCTCCGGAGTAGTTGTGGTGTAGCTTAGTAACGAATTGCTCATCCGAACCCATGGGCAAACGCGACTCTTCGTCTAGTAGAGACAAGATACCTAGCTTGCCTTCAATAAGATCGATACAAGGCTGGTTGTCGGCGAAGTCGATGAAAGTCCAGTCGATCTGTTCGCGCATGTACTCCTCCTGCTCCAGCTTGAAGACGTGTGCGTTAAACTCTTGTTGCAATTTTTCATTAGCGTAGTTGATACAGAACTGCTCGAAAGAGTTCTTTGCGAAGTGCTCGAAACCGTAGATATCGAGGACACCAATGAAGGTGTGGGCTTGCGCAATAACCTCTTCGGTGGCCAGACTCTCGTTTGTGCGCTCGACCAGCCAGTCGAACAAGCTCGAATAGATAAACTTGGCAACGGAGTCTCGGACCACGATAGCCTGCTGCTGCGTCAAGTTGGAGACAATCTTCTCTCCTCTGGTAATGAGTTGCTTCTTTACAATCCACTTGGCGAAAGTGTTGGCGTCAATTCCTAGCAGCGAACAAGCCTTGACGAGAGAAGGCTCGGCTGGGTCAAGATTTGAGTCTGTTCGAGTTGCTGTGATCTTGATGTCTCCCATGTGCAACAGCGCCGCGAGCAGACGCCAGATGCCGGCTTGGGTTTCTGGCGGCACACCGATCTTGGTCAAGGATTGTCTTGTGGCCTTAAACTCAGCCACGTCGTCCATACCCTCAATCACAGGCGCACTGCCTTGATTGAGGTAGCTGAACTCCTCGACCGACTTCAGGGAGAGCTCTTCGCGCTCCTCATCCGACGCACCGGCTACCAGCTGGTAGAAGACGTGGTAATTCCGCTCCTTAAGCGGCTGAAACACCAGTCTTGACCGTTCCAGCAGATACGTCCTGATCTTTGCACCAATAATATCCGTCTGCTTGTTGAACATGATCTCGATGTATTTACCGAAACGCGAGGAGTTATCGTTACGGGTGGTTTTGGCGTTACCGAAGGCTTCCATAATGGGGTTGGTAGCCAGAATCTGCTCTTCGGTCTCGCTCATCGAGTCGGACTTGCCTCTCCGCTTGCCTGGGTTGTCCGGGGACTCTCGTGTGGCAAAGTATCGCATGATGTATTTGGCGCTGACCGTCTTTCCGGCTCCGGACTCTCCAGAGACGACAATGGTCTGGTTCTTCTGGTCTCGCAACATGTCGCTGGTAAAGATTAGTCACTGCCATAACGGGTGGTGGGTCTGAGGCGCGGGGAACTCACGCGAAGGCTTCTTCAGCAATGGCAAACAAATGCGGAGCGCCATAGGATCTCTGCTTGCCAGCGTAGACCTGTACCATGCCGGGTACGTATAGGGAGTCGACTCGCGCAAAGGGATTTGTCGCGATCAGGACGATACCCGAGTATGTGTAGATCTCCTTCTGCAGGTAACGCAGCTTGATGGCCTGGAGCACTGCACGACCGTCAGTATGCCATGTCTTTTGTGTGGGGTCGGGCGACTGTACCAGCCGGCTCGTTCAAATGTGACAGGTTCGTAAGGTCATCGCTGGCTTCGAGCATGGCCGGGTTCATCAGCGGAGGGAGATTGGGGTCATTGCCGGTCTGGATGGCCAGTATCGTCGTCTCGACGGATTTGGTCTGCGCAGTGAAGCATCGTCAGTGGCCGTGTCCTGCATCAATATCATGCCCGTGGGTGTGCGTACCTCGCCATTCTCCAGCGTGAACACCAGCTTCACTTTGTCTCCCGCAATCTGCTTGTCCGTCACCTCGGAGGCGACCCAGCCCTCGGTGGTATCGGGCTGCCATGCCCGGGTGCCGAGGTCGTAGATGTGAGCCATGGTGGGTGGTTGTGTATGGGTTGTCCCCCTCCAAAAGGCGGTGCGGGTTCAGGGTCCAGAGGCGGCTCCCTGGTGGTGGGATATGCTCAGCTCGCTAAGTCGGTGCGGTCGCTGGCTGCGTGGGTGCGGTCGTGGACGTCGTCAGCGTGGGATGTCGCTGCAGTCACAGGGCTCGATGCATCCCTGGAGGAGAGGAGGGCAATCGTGTGGGCGAAGTTATGCGAACTGCTGCCCGCCGTGTTGTCGACTTTCTCTGGTCACGCTAATCGCCTCTCACCGCCAACATCCCGCCAACCCGCACGGGCCAGCTCCAGGGGGCCGAGCCAACCACCACCGCTCTGCCACCTGGAACCGCGCAGACAGGCGTCTCACCATATGCACCTCCTCACTTCTGCATCCCAAATAGCCTCAGCAGCTTGCATCCGATCTGCAGCCTCACTCGGCGTACCTGGAGCAGCCTGTGACGCTGTCCGGCCTTCCAACGTGCTGCGTACCACACCCACATGCAGGCCAGCATTCTTACTCGCACTGTCCCATTCCCCACCTGTCATCTAAAGCGACAGTCCTTCCCCAGAGTTTATGCAGGTAAACTCCCTGGATGTTTCGCCTCTCGAATCTCTTTCTTCGCGCATCCGTTCTTGCTGAACCCGGCCAACTGAAACATGCCGCCTCAGCATGATACGTGGGCGTCACGACTTCATTGTACTTCAAAGACCAGGAATTCGGGGCTTCAGTAATCATCGAATCGACTAACTGCAAAGGGGCTGCATGGCCATGGCTCGGTCATACCCACCATAGCGTGAGTGACTTCTAATGGATATCTCCACACCTGACTGTCGTCGTTTTCCACGAGCTCACGACTCGCTACCAGTCAAAGTGTCTTTCCAAGGTTGTGTAACCATCACCCTACCAGGTAGTATATTTCCACCAAGTGACTAGATGAACATTGCCAAACGTGTTCAATAACATCCCATCAATCACAACTTATACGCGCTTGAAGTGTTCATAACGTACTCGCGCCGAAATACCACATTGTAAACCGAGACAAACACGTCACATGAGCGATCACGTGCGATAGCGCTTATCGCCCGCTTCATCTGGACTGGCAGTCGCGGCTGCCTACAAACCAAACAATCTTTCCTCTCGGTCGTACCGGCACGACACAGCATCCTAGACGTACTCACCGTAGATTCACGATGGGTTTGCCAACGTGGGAGATGTTGTGTTCCTCCAGGGTAAGTTTTGCCTGTTAGGTACAATTGCAACCCAAGAACAGCAACCTTTTTTGTCACCTGACTGTTCATTGGATCAGCATCTTCCCGGGAAGGTACCACCTACCAGGACTATCGATTGGTACTACCCCAATGTCATTCTTCCTACACTATCTTTCTCCCTCCTCCGCACGTACTTGGCTCTACAGCAGTATCGCCTAGCACATGGCATCGACCTCAGGTTGAGTCGCTACCGAAGAGGTGGTACCAGAATCTAAAGACTCGACTCAGTCAACACTTGGAAAGTGCGTGATTGTTCATCTTAACTACTACGACCAGCATGAACAAAACGGTCGATGAGCATGAGCGGAAGCAATTCTACCCGAAAAGAAACCACACGTGCGATCGATGCTTATCCGTGTGGCCAAAGGTCCCTTACCAAGAAGATGGTACAGATATCTTTCGAATCGAAGAAAACGCGGAAAAGCTATTGAACTCAGCTTGTGAGGTATGCCAAGTACTCGGTATGGCGCTGAGGGAACATCAAGAGGAGGATCCCAGTATGAAGAGACCGTTGTTGCGGTGGGAACGTTGGTTAGGCTACTCAGGCGTGGCCGCCTTCTATGAATCTGACGGTACCAGAGAGCGGAAACATAGCCAAGCCGGAGTGGTCAAGATATGGTATCCTGATTCATCCATTGCTGATGATTGGAAGCGCGTGGAAACGGAGGATCGACGCGTTGATTTCGATGCGATCAGAGGCTGGCTCGAAGAGTGTGGCAAGTCTCATGCTCGTTGCAAACTCAGCACACAAGGGGCACCTCGGAATCTGAAAGTCATTGATTGCATGGAGAGAACTATCGTTGCAGCGGCAGCGGGATGCCGATACGTGGCGTTGTCATACGTATGGGGTGGGTTGACCTTCAAGACAGACACGAAGTCCAGAGCTCTGTCTTTTGAGCTGCCCCGTACTATTGAGGACAGCATGGAAGCTACATTGCTTCTCGGATATCGGTATCTTTGGGTTGAGTGAGTACTTTCGCAATCATTGTGGACGGCAATTGAGCTAACGCGTCATTGTACATACAGCGCCTTTGTAAGTTCCCAAATTATACTTTGACAGTGCTAACCAAGAAATCAGTGCATACAACAGGATGACGCAGTCGACAAGCTTTTTCAGATTCGACAGATGGATTTGATATACACCGCAGCAGAGCTCACTCTAATCGCATCAGCCGGCCATGATCCCTCATCGGGTATACCGGGCGTAGGAAGCTCACGAAGAGTGAGATATCGAGACGCTACTGCTGGTGACATACGCGTGTCCTATGTCCCGCCCACAGTTCACAGGATCATCACCAGATCTCGTTGGTTTACACGAGGATGGACATTTCAGGAAGGCTACCTTCCGCGCAGGCGACTATACTTCACGGAGAGTGCAGTTCTGTTCATATGCAATCATGTGCAGGAATACGAAGGCTTTCAGCGTTGCGTATCCGAATCCGAAGTCTATCTATTGGAGGGTACACTGAATCCACGCGCATTAGGAGGCAGCAGCGACGGATTTAATGAGCCCGACGAGATCATGCAATTGCTTCAGCAATATTCAGCTCGCGGACTCAGTCACGACAGTGATGCCATGAACGCCATTCTGGGCGTTCTGAACTACCATAACAGAAAGAATTCTTCCGTTCGTACTTTGTGGGGACTACCATACCGACCACCGCCAATCGGGCATGGTTACATCTGTATAAACTGGAAGCACTACAGAACAGCCATGAGACGACCGGAATATCCCAGCTGGACGCCACTTGGCTGGGCCGGTAGTGTCAAATTTGCAGATGTTCTCCACCAACTTGATCTGTCAGTAAAGGATGCTGACAACCTAAGTAATCCGCTTCTGAATTGGTCTGAGGGTGAGCATCGCGTAAGGGACTTCCAACATATACAAATTACCGTCAAAGTCCACCCGTTTCCGGTGGTTAACATAACGCGTTCAAAACTCGTTCAGACGTGGGATTGGGGCCCTTCCGAGCGCGAAAGATCATTCCTGGTACTCACTATCGGCACCGCGTTGGGAAATGGCGGTGACGTCAAGCTTTACATGCACATACACTGGGACGTCGACCTCGGCGAAGACTACGACAGCAGCCAGATAACATGTGCGGTCACTCACGACCAGAATCTCAGATACCTGTCGATAATGGTACTGCGAGACCTCGGAACTCACTACGAACGTATAGGAATCGCGTTGGCCAATCCTGAGCCTGGGGACACGGGCATCATCCAGGCGGTAGGATTAGACGAGCTGATCGGCCCTGCTACCGGAATTCAGACCTTGAGTGCTGGTGACACCCCAAATGTCTACTGGCGAGAATTGAAAGGTACCTTTGAAGAGGAATTGGCTTGGATACGTGATATAGAACCGGTGACTATCACCTTGGGCTGAATCCACTTTGGAGGGCACAGCCCACGTACTATCACGGCGAGTTTGACCTGCAACGTATCACAGTCTCTGGGCCCCGTCAGCAACAGCCCGCAGGCTTCAAGCTACCGAATTTCATCCCACCAGGCACCACGATTACTCGACTGGGATCACGTCGCATGCTATCGTCGCTGTAGGATGAAGGCGATACTATCCGCTGAGTTCGCGACTACAACGGCAGCACACTCGCAGTATTCTCCGATCAAGAAAGCCTCTTCCCGTGACAACGTCCCACGAAATCGACAAAGAAGAGCCATAACGATCTTGCCTACGGCAGAAGAGTTCATCAACGCCATCCCTCACACCAAATTCCCCATCAAACCATTCCTACCGGCTTTGCAGATCGACTTTACGACTACAACTCCAGCGCACATGGCGGTCAGACGGCGCAACAAGTACCGGTATGGACTGGGTCGCGACTTCGTCAACGTTGTCATTTAAGAAGATATAAGATAGATCAGTCTGACTGGAGTAGAGAAGAACACCAAGCAGAGAATGTCGCAGCAAGCTCGCCTGAAGAGATGATTGAGACAAGTACGGGTGTTCAGCGCGATGGAAGTATTGAGGAGTCCCCCAGAAATATCGCAACAGGTGAGGAAAGGGAAGGGTTGGATCAGCTTTGGGTACGGCTTCATACCATGAACAAAGCCATGCGTGTGCGCTGTAGCCCACGGGGTTCACAGGACATGCATAGCAGACATTCCCACAATGTACTTCTTGTGTCAATTCATCTCGTATCTCATTCATTTCAGTAGTAACAATAACCCAGTGTTGAACTCTACTTTTCTAGCCAATGTATGCACAACCCCAAATCAGACGCCGTGCGAAAGCCTTCTACCCATACTTTTAAGGTCCCTAATATGCGGCAGCGAACCCAACATATCATCCCTCGTATCATTCTTGTGTTGTTCAACGAGGTCAGTCTCCTCTGTCTGCTCCGCCGGCTGCATCCGCTCGTCTCCGCGATCGTGAAAGGGGCTGTCCGCCTAGTACAGGACCCTGGTACGGATACACGCTGCGTTATGTTAGCCATCTTCTCAAGCAAAGGGGTGAGGTGGTGTAGAAGTGTAGACGTACAAGAAAGCTCCTCCAAACTCGTGAACAAATCCCTAATCTCCCCCTCCTTAACCTCACTGATATCCGCCATGAGATACGCAACCTCGCCTCTTGAATCACTCATCTGCTTCTCGATATTGTGGTGAAGCAAGATACCATTGACCTGTCTCAGCACGCCAGGCACGTTCTTATGGATGTAAATAACACGCATGCAATCGGGCTGATCGAGCGTCAAGCTACGCAGATTGACTTCAGGCAGGTTGACGGCACCGAGCGTGGTGCCCTCGTTGACGTAGCGGACGAGTGCTGTGCTGACTTCGACACCGATGGCGGATTGCGCTTCTTCTGTGCTGCCGCCGATGTGAGGGGTTAGGATGATGTTCTTTAGACCGACGAGGTCCTTGGTCCACGCGTTCAGGTCGGAGCTGAAGTAGTCGCCGTTGCCGGCGGGTTCGTTGGGGAAGACGTCGATGGCGGCGCCGGCGAGTTTGCCAGAGCGGCTGGCTTCGATCATGGCGGGGATGTCGACGACGGTGCCGCGCGCGTTGTTGATGAGGTAGCTACCGTCCTTCATCTTTGCGAATTGCTCGGCGCCGATCAGGTTCTTGGTCTCAGAGGTCGCGGGGACGTGGAGGGAGACGAAGTCGGCTTGGGCGAGGAGGTCGTCCAAGGATGCTACTTGTCGCGCGGTTCCCAGACCCATGGTGGTCAGGACGTCGTAGTAGATGACGCTCATGCCCATGGACTCGGCCAGCACACTCAGCTGGCTACCAATGTGTCCGTATCCGACTATACCCAGCGTCTTGCCGCGGATCTCCCAGCAGCCCTTGCTGACCTTGTTCCATGTGCCATTGTGTAGTTCCATGGAGCGGTCGGCGAGCTGGCGGGCGAGCGCGATGATCTCTGAGATGACGAGTTCGGCGACGGAGCGCGAATTGCTGAAGGGCGAGTTGAAGACGGCGATACCCTGGCTGGCAGCAGTCTGGAGGTCGACCTGGTTCGTTCCGATGCAGAAGCAGCCGATGACGATCAGGTTCTTTGCCTCCTCCAGCACCTTCTTGGTGAGCTTCGTCTTTGAGCGAATGCCAATAACGTGCACATCGCGGATCTTCTCAATCAGCTGGTCTTCTGCCAGACTGGCCTTGATTGCCTCGACCTGGTAGCCCTGACCGCGGAGAATATCGACACCGGCCTCGTTGACATTTTCGAGGAGCAGGACCTTGATGTCCTTGGTATCGAACGGTTTCAGTTGCTTGGCGAGTTGTTGCGCGTGTGCGCTGTTGTTGGCCTGATTGCTGAAGCTGCCAGTGGGCGGTTGGCGGAATGTGGAGGGCGGGCTGTGGAAGGAGAGGTTCGGGCTGGTGCTGAGGTTGAGGCTGTTGGACACTTGGCGTGCGAGTTGGCTGATGCCGCTGCCGGCAATGTCCTGTGCGGGAGTCATGGTGGGCGCGCGGAGGTTGTTGCGGAGGTGGCTCGGAGGAGGGATGCGACAACTCAATCTGGCTGTCTGATCCGGACGATGCTGGAGGAATCTAGACTATTAATACGCAGTGACTCTTCACTACAGCTACCAAACTGTGCAATGCTCAACGAATCACAGGGTAATCGCAAGGCAGGTTTTAGGATGTTGCGGCAAAGTATGACTGGCGGCTGCAATAGACAGCAACAACACACGCACAGGAGATGCTCCCCACTTTTTGCGAGTACTTGATGACTGGTTGCGTCTAATTTTGCTTACAGTGACACCTACAATTGACTCAATCGATGTCGTCTGACGCGACGCCTCTCAAAAATTTCTCATAACGCCGATGATGCCATCCCGCTCTGGCCCTGGACCCCACCAAGCATACCTAGCTTACCAACCTCCGCTTTCGGAAGTCTGATGTGCTGCCCGGAACAAAGTGATCGGCAGCAGGCTATTCACCATCACACATGCATAACTAAGAGTTGTACGACATGCAAATGCCGTTGTATTCATTATCTATTGGCTTGAGTGCACCTAAGCTGCTCAACCCTCCCAAAAATGTATTCTTCGTCACCCCGAGCAGACCTCACCCAAGGCGCTTTCTAAGTGTAGTCACCATCTACAACTTCTGCTCGTTCATGGGCCACTGGTATCCTAGAATCGAGTTAGTCTTTGGGTTCAATGTCCTGCAGAGGTGAGGTCCTACCTGCTGCGTCGCTGAACTTGTATCCGTAAGAAGAAGTGAAGTCATCCAATACGGCAGGGCCGCGGGAGCCTGATGATAGTTAGCCAGTATCCGTCTATGTTCTCGGCCTCTACGAACCATATGGGTACTCCATAGGAATGATCTCCTTGTTGTCATCAAGGTAGTGGAGAAGAGGTGTGAAGATCCTCCAGCTAGCGTCGAGCTCGTCGTCACGAACGAAGTTGGAGTGGTCGCCCTTCAGCGCATCGAGAATGAGCGACTCGTATGCCTCGGGGATCTTCAGGTCGGAGAATCGCCGTCTGTAGGTAAGGTCGAGTTCTGTGACGACAGTCTGCATGCTAAGACCGGGCAGCTTGGAGTTCATCTTAATGTAAACACTCTCGTTGGGCTGCACACGGATGACGAGCTCGTTTCGCGGGATGTCCTTGAAGATGCCAGAGGTGACATCCTTGAACTGGATGCGGACTTCCGTCTTCTGCTCGTTCAGGGCCTTTCCTGCCTTCAGGATGAAGGGCACGCCGTCCCATCGCTCGTTCTTGATGTAGGCAACCATGGACGCGAAAGTGGGGCATCGCGAGTCCTTGGGGACTGTGTCGTCCTCCTTGTAGCCTGGCTTTTGACCGTCCAGTGACTTTCCGTACTGTCCGATTATAACGTTCTTGGGCTCGATCGAGGCCATACCACGGAGGACGCGGACCTTTTCGTCGCGGATGTCTTCGGCGGAGAAGGAGATGGGGCGCTCCATAGCGAGGAGGGTAAGAACTTGGAGCAAATCTGCAATCGTCAGTCAATCCTCATTTCAACCATCAGTCTTCGCTTACGGTTCTGCATAACATCACGGATGATGCCAAACTCGTCAAAGTAACCTCCACGGCCTTCGGTTCCGAAAGGCTCCTTGAAGGTGATCTGAACGTTGTCGATGTGGTTCCTGTTCCAGGTAGCGCCGAAGAACTCGTTACCGAATCGGAGAATAAGGATGTTCTTGACCATCTCCTTACCCAGGTAGTGGTCAATTCGGTAAAGCTCATCTTCGGTCCAGTCGGGAGCCAACGCCTTCTGCAGCTCTCTTGAACTTGGGAGGTCCTTGCCAAATGGCTTCTCGACCTGTGCGACAGCGGTTAGCTGCATGTATCCGAAAAGTTGCACAAGAGCGACTTACGATGACGCGAGAAATGCCGTTCTTGGGGTAGCAGTTGCGCTTCAGGTGCTGAGAGACTGTGATGAAGACGCTGGGAGGGAGAGCCATGTAGAATATCCTGTTGTTCTCCTTGCGGCCCTTCTCGATCTCCTGCATGTGCTTCTCAAGTCCGACGAAGGATTCGTCCTGGTCGTACTGGCCAGAGACGTACGAGCAGAACTCGCAAAATTCATCCAACTGCTTCTCCAGTTCTTTTGTGGGAGTCTTGATGTACGACTTGACGCGCTTGAGGTACTCCTCGCGGTCCATCTTTGTGCGTGCATATCCGACGATGTGGATGTTCTTGGGGAGGAAGTTGTTTCGGTGCTGTGCTGGTGGTCAGAGAATGCGCATGTCGATCTGTATCGTGCAACCTACGAGGCCGAAGAGGGCTGGGAACTGGTATGCCGTTAGTCTGATGTTTGCTCGCATGCTTGCTTCTTTACGTACGGTCTTTTTCTTCGCTAGGTCACCGGAGGCGCCCAAAACAACGATGATGGTGTTGTCCTTGAGCTCCATGTTTCTATCGCGAGATCTGGTTAGCTGGGGTGCTCAAAATGCTAAAGGGCTTGATCGGTTTCGCGCATCGACCAACCCCTCCGCCGAAGAGCGCGAGGCGCTTGAGCAGAAAACAACGGCCGGATAAATTGATGACATATTCAGACGGCTCGTAAAAGGCTGTATAAAATCGATCGGGGACGGTGAGGGCGACCTACCCGGCATTGACCTCCTCATGCTTGGGCTGGATAACTGTGTCCGCCATTGTGTTGATGTGTGATGTAAACGCTTTGGGGGAGGAGCGGGCGCAAGGTTACAGCTCAATTAAGGGCTGCAGTGGGTGAGGGCAATAAGGTAACACAAGAGATCTCGAAGTAAGGGCGGAAGCTACGGATAGGACGTGGATGTGTGAGGAAAAGTCCTATGTAGTGGGGTTATCGGAGCTGCTCTAGCGGTTTCGCGTGGTGGTGACGTTGGTTAGCTTTAATTTGCCGCTCGAACGCCGGTGATAGGGTCTCAGACAAATGCTTCACAGAAAC